GTGTGGTGCTGGGATTGAGCCCAGAACTATGTGTAAGCTAAACACATGCTGTATTTCTGAGCAGCACCCCCAGCCCCTAAGAGTTAATCAGACTCAAAAGCCCCTTGGGGATGGAAGGATTAATGGGCTTTCTGGGCTGGGGTGTTGGAGGGCGCTATGCCTTTTCCTTGGAGTGTACTTTTTAGATAAGATTTTAAAAGCTGTTTTCAATCGCTGTGCTATATTGTATTGTCAGTATTTCCATTTCAAAAAGCAGCTTCATTTGCAAAAAGCCTCCTGCTGGGTTTTTAACACTCCCTTAGAACAATCAAAATCCTGCTTGAAGTCTTGTGTTGTGAGCTGTCAAGAGCTTTTCACAACCCTCCAGTGGGCCAGGTGCATCCACAATCTTGCTATTCTGACCAAGCTGTTTGTTGTTGTTTTAAGTAAACGAGCCAGAGAAGTCTTTGGGAACACATTCGCACGCTTATTGTCTCCACCTGGCTACCACTCCGCCCTCTCCCTCACCACCGGGAGTTATACTGTTCTCTGGCTACCTCCGCTTAGTATATCCCTGGAGTTTCCAGTGGGTTGAGGAAGCCACGGCCAGCTCCAGAGTAGAGACAACCCTGCTGGTCTTCAGGGGTTTTCATCTTGAATTGTGGGGTTCCCAGACTCACACCACCACCCCAAGATCTGGTTTAACTTCCCAAACCCGACTGGGGCGACTTGCCAGACTGAGGCCCTGGGAACTGGTGCTCTCGGGACAGGCACCGCCTGCAGAGGGAGGGGCAGGTGGCCAGGAGTGAGTGCTCACGGACTTTAAATTGCAGGCTCTGGTGGGTCCCACGGGAACAGAGCGCAGCTGAGGGTGAGGCATCCATTCTACATGGTCACGGCTCTAGCCATACAGACTGGGGTGTGGGGCCTGATTGCCAACTCCAGAGGTGCAAGCCACCCAAGATGTGATGCTAACCCACTCCCAGCCATCTTTCCACTAAGGCCATCTCCGCAGAGCAGGGTGCTCGTGTGCACATGAGAATTGTTGCCCCGAGCAGGACTTCTTGATGACACATGCAGAGAAGACTCTGATGAGAATGGCATTTCTATAGGTGAACAAAGAGGTCCCGCTGACTGCCCACACGTGACAGGGATCATAAGCTTCGTAGGTGTTTTGGAGATAGTGATGGATTGGTACCTGTCTCTTTTGGAGCCATAGAGATGTTTGGAAACCAGTGGAGGAGGTAGTTGCACAACATTTTGAATGTGCTATTTGTTCACCTTGAAGCAGCTCACTATAGATAAGACTCTCACCTCTACTTTTAAAACACGCTTTCCTTTGGAGGTGTTTGTTAATGGTAAGAGCGCCCGCCTAGCATATGTGAGGCGGTGGGATCCATTCCCAAGCTCCAACATAAAGAAATAAATAAAACCCTGTCAAGTATTTTGAGGTACTTAAAGGAAAAACTCTGCTTTTCAAGAGTTCCTAGACTGGCTCTAAGCCTCTGGGGGATTGGTTGCCTGTTGCCTAGGGATGCTGCCTCCAAGTGGAAGAACCAGGCTGTCCTTGAGTGGGGCTCCCATCCCCCACCCGAGGAAGAGGACTATTCTGCCTGTGCCCAGCTTGAGCTGCAAAAGGGCTGGAAAGGTGGCATGGAAATCCTCTGAAGAGCCCCTCTGCACGCCCTGCCCGATCCTGGGGTTCCCGTTATACGTCCGTGTAATTCTGAGAATGCTGTCTTTTCGTTTCATCTAACTGTCCATGGATCCATCCAAACATTCATTCCGTTGGTGGGGTGGCACACCCTGGAATTCTCCTGTGGGCCTAGCATAAGTGCTGGCTAACAGGTATTAAGATGGGCAGAACACTGCCTTCAAGCTTTTAGTTGGGAAGACAAAAGGGAAGAAGAAACCTAAGGATTAGGCTGGGGGTGCAGGGGAAGCATGCCCAGGCAAGCCCAACTCACCACGGTCAGGGGAGGAGGGGGAGGGGGATAGTAATTGCAAAGTTAAGGCCTGTGATGGGTCCTGATTCAGAAGCTAGCATATAGAACTGTCTTGTCACATAGGGGAGAGGTCACCCCAGTTCTCCAGAGGAGCCAATGGTCAGAAAAGCCCCATTCTAGATTCAAACGTTCTCTGAGCAGGTAGTGATGGGTCTTGTCCCCTGTCATATCAAGCAGGTGTCCACTACAGGCCTCTGTCAGGCCTCCTTGTAGGGGGGTCTCTTTATCCACCCTCTCCTAGTCTGAAAAACATCAGGGCTAGGTTTCTAGTCCTTTTTTTTTCATCACTTTTTAAAAAAACGAGCCTCCTGACTGGTATTATGGTTCAATGTAAGAGCACTCACCTAACATGTGAGAAACCCTGGGTTCAACCCATGGTGTAAAACAAAAGCCAAATGCTGAATAAAATTCCCAACAAAAACAAGACTGGATTTCTTGGGGCTGTTGAGATGGCTCCATGGGCAAAAATGCTTGCTGCCAGGCCCGTGAACTGGGGTTCAGTTTCTGTAAGCCAGTTAAGGCAACCCTCTCCCACTCAGGGGATGGTTTTTTATTCACAGCAAGACTGAGGCTGGGATGTGGCTTGGTCAGAGCGCTTACCTAGTATGGACAGAACACTGGGTTCCATCTGATTGCGTCTGTAGCACAAACCAGTCATCATGATGCATGCCTGTAATCCCAGCACTTGGGGAAATTCAAGAGGTCATATCAAGTTCTAAGCCAGCCTGGGATACATGAGACCCTGCTTCAAAACAGAGACCTAAAAAAAAAAAAAAAAAAAAAGTGCTTACATAGCCCATGATGGTTGTCTGTTGGATGAATGGGTGAATTCAAATAACCCCCTTTCCAAACTGGTCAGGGATTCTTTTGTTTATTAATATTCATTTTAAAGAAAAACTATTTTTCTTGGGGCAATATGTCATATTTTTGTGAAATACTTTTTTTTAATTAAAAAAAATGTAAAAGAAGAGGAGAGGGAGGAGGGGGGAAGGGAGGAGGGGGGAAGGGGAGGATGGAGATGTGGCCTGGTGGCAGAGCTGTACCTAGCATGCCTGAATCACTGGGTTCATTCCCAGCATAGAAAAAAAAATGGTGAAGAAAAAGGCATCCATCGCCTATCTCCAATGGGCTCAGCCTAGTAGGAGGAATGGGTGCCCTGCTGGTCCATTGATTTCTTTCTCCTTTCTCCCTGGCAGCGGGAAGATTCACTCACAGGCCCCAACTCTCTCTCCCTCCGTGAAAGGCATTACCAGATGATGTCACCTTCTCCTGCGGAAGCATTTCATCTCACCACCCCATCCCATGTCTCCTAGCAAGTGGCAGATCTAAATGTCAGGGGAAAAAAGCTTGCGCTTAGGCCTGGGAGTCTCAGAGGCAAACACAGTACTTTATTCTGCAGCTGTCTTTAACTGTGTCTCCTAAGCTGAGCCCAGGGGGATTGTCCATTAATGTGTTCTGGGGGGTTCTCTCACCTGTAAAATGAGAGTGGACGTGGCAGACCTTATATTCTGCTCCTTTTGCAGTTATATGACCCGGCTGTTCTAAAACTCGGGCTCTTAATTTTAATTTTTAAAATAGCGGTGGTAGGAGCTATGCTGCGTGTTTCACATCTTTAATCCCAGCACCTGGGAGGCAAAGGCAAAAGAATCTCTGTGAGTTCAAGACCAGCCTGGTTTATATAGTGAATTTGGCAGACTGTGTGACTGCCAAAAAGATAAAATTGGTAAGTGGGAGGTGGGGCTGGAAAGGACGGTGGCCAGACTTCCCTGGCGAGTGTCACGTGTCACAAGCAAACCTGCCCTGTAGCGATTCGATACTCGCTTGTCTGACCTGGTTTGGTTCCTGCCCTCTGGGCGATAGTGTCTGATGTAAGCCTGGTTTTTCTTCCATCAGGGTCCCGGTGTCCTACACCGATAAAGCTAGGGAAAAAAAAAAAAAAAAGTCGAGTCCGTCTGAATCTCCTCCCACCCTAAGTACTCACTATCTCACTATTAGCCCTCGAGCATCGCTGCCAGCCTAGATTTCCTGTTGCCTCGCTTGAATGACGAAACCCCTGATGGCTATTGCACTTGGGCTTTTCCAGAGATCTCGGGCCCCGGGTTCCATTGAACTCTCAGTGTCTTTTATTTTATTTTTTTAAACACAAAACCTAAGAGGGATTTTAGGACCCGGCGGACACCAGGGACTCTGCGGCAGTGGGCTAGGAAGGCTTTGGCCCCCCGCAGTGGCCTGTCCCTTAGGGTGGATCTGTGTGTCTTCTTGACGTGAGTCCTTGTTCTCTGGCCGTGGATCAGGCGCTAGGAATCAGTCCGTGGACTTTAACCCCTTCCAAACCCTCTGCTTGGGGACAACCTCTCACGGGAGAGCACTGATGTCTTCATAAACCCATCCCCCGTGGCTATAGAGTTAACAGGAAGACTGATGGGGTTCGAGGAGGGTGCCAGACCAAGGTGCCTTGTCTTTGGACCTATCTCCAAATGTCCATCGCGTGTCGCCAGGAAATACAGCATGGGATTGATGCTCGCGGGACAGCGGGATAACGTCTACCGCCGCGCTACGGTCCCACGAGCATCCACTTGTGTGCCCAGTACTGGAGAGCTAGACACTGGGGGTACCTGTTTCCCCGGCGGCTCATTGCTGCTCCAGGTACCCTAACTCTTCATCCCAGGGCAGCCATGGGCTGTCCCCTCCCCCAGCAACGCGACCCTATAATAAACAAGTCTTTCCTTGATCCTCCCCTGCCGCGAGCGCCCTCAGGGACCTTGGCAGCTGCTGAAAGCCGCCTCCATTCCCTTCCAGAAAGGGGGTGTGGCCGCGGCTAAGGGGAGGGCGGAGAGGTTCGGCCAGCTGCGTTCTGGGGCTCCGTGGGGGCGGGGCCAGGCCGCTGTCACCAGGCAGGAGAGAACGTTGCGAACGTGCTCCCGGAGCCCATTGGCTGAGGTGGGCCACACTCCCGGATCCCCATTGGGCTGCGACTTGAAGGAGGCGCGGCCTCTCCGCGAGAGGCCTTATAGGCTGCTGCTCTCTGGTGCTAGGGATCGCAGCGGGCAGGGGGAGGTGCGGGAGGTTTCGAAGGGACAGGCCCGGGCAGTGATCGGGGGGTTGGCATCAGTTCACTCACCCTTCGAGAGACAGGGCTCGCTTGTCCACAGTCTTCGCTGACCGCGCTAGCAGGTGAGTGTCCCTCCCTGGTGTGCACATCTCGTCGGGGGGCGACCTCGGCTGTTGGGGCCCCAGCGCCCTCAATCCTGTGCAGCGCCGACACTGACGCGAGATCCTTGTCCCTCTTGTCTTTCAGCGTCTTCTGCGCTCCCTTACCCAAAGCTCCGCAGCCATCCGTCCTGGCGTCTGACCTCACCATGCCTAGCCTTTGGGATCGTTTCTCGTCGTCCTCCTCCTCTTCGTCTTCGTCCGGAACTCCAGCCACTGACCGGCCACCTCGTTCCGCCTGGGGGTCTGCGGCCCGAGAAGAGGGCCTTGACCGCTGCGCGAGCCTGGAGAGCTCGGACTGTGAGTCCCTGGACAGCAGCAACAGTGGCTTCGGGCCGGAGGAAGGTGAGCAGTGAGCGGGTGCGGTACATCACTCGTGGGGGCCCGGGAGGTGGGAACCGAGCTGTACCAGATCAATGCCTGTCACCTTGGCTTTCCATCCCACCACGCGAACTCCGGGGTTAGAAGGCACGAATGTGGGGCGGAGAAACTGAGGCACGGAGTGGGAAGGAACGCTGTTTTATTAGCAAAATTGCACCTCCCCCGCCGGTACAGTTCCTGTGGAAGCCGCTCTAATATCGTTCCCTGTGTCCTCTCTTTCAGATTCCTCATACCTGGACGGGGTGTCCCTGCCCGACTTTGAGCTGCTCAGCGACCCCGAGGATGAGCATCTGTGTGCCAACCTGATGCAGCTGCTGCAGGAGAGCCTGTCCCAGGCGCGATTGGGCTCGCGGCGCCCTGCGCGCCTGCTGATGCCAAGCCAGCTGGTGAACCAGGTGGGCAAGGAACTCCTGCGCCTAGCTTACAGCGAGCCGTGCGGCCTGCGGGGGGCACTGCTGGACGTCTGTGTGGAACAAGGCAAGAGCTGCCACAGTGTGGCTCAGCTGGCCCTCGACCCCAGCCTGGTGCCTACCTTTCAATTGACCCTGGTGCTGCGCCTTGACTCTCGCCTCTGGCCCAAGATCCAGGGCCTGTTGAGTTCCGCCAACTCTTCCTTGGTCCCTGGCTACAGCCAGTCCCTGACGCTGAGCACCGGCTTCAGAGTCATCAAGAAGAAACTCTACAGCTCCGAACAGCTGCTCATCGAAGAGTGTTGAACTCCGCCCTGGGGGTGGGGGGCATACTCCCCCCCCCCCCCCCCCGTGCGGAGACAGAAAACTTTCGTGATGGAGACCAGCAGGCAAGGACTGAAGGACTATAACGCCTGTGTTAGAAAACTGACCATAGCCACCTGAGGGGCGCAGAGCCAGGTGGGAGAAGGAAGTGTCAAGGAAGGTCTCTAGGTAGTGTGCAGGTGGCTCCCTGTTGGGGCGCATGCCCCTTAGTACTGTAGCATGGAAACAAAGGCTTAGGGGCCACACAGGCTTCCGGCTGGATGTGTATGTAGCATGTACCTTTTTTTTTTTAATTATTATTATTACTGACAGTTACAACAGCGGTAGTGTGACAGAGCCAGGAGGGCAGCCGGTCTGCACTGGCCTCTGCCCGGGTGTGTGCTGAGGGGGGGGGGGGGGGAGGTCTCGGAGATAGTCTGTGTATCGCGTGGTCTGAAAGGACCAAGAGTGTTTGTCGTTTGTTTCGTAGCTTTTGTTTTGGGGGGACGGGAGCTTCACTACTGACCTGTTTGAGGCAGCTATCTTACAGACGCATGAATGTAAGAGTACGAAGGGTGGGTGTGAGGATCGGTTGGGATCTTTGACACTTGAAAAAAAAAAATTAAAACACCTGGGAGCTTCTGTCCAGCTTATCCCCTGCCGTGGACTGGAGGATTGAACTGTGAGGGGGATGGAGCTGAGGGGGGTGGGGGGGGGCTGGAACCCCCTCCCCCAGAGGAGTGCCTCCTGGGTCTTCCATCTAGAACTGTTTACATGAAGATACTCACAGTTCATGAATACACTTGATGTTCAAGTATTAAGACCTATGCAATATTTTTACTTTTCTAATAAACATGTTTGTTAAAACACTTGAGTCTCGTCAGTACCTTGAATGAACTAGGAAAGGGGTGGGTGGCGCTGGTGAAGACAAGTTTCTTCAGATTCTAGGGGCCGCTGTGAGTGCCTGACCCCTTCCTGGGCTACCTGCCAAAGCTGGTAACAGGTATGTGGACTGTGCCATCAGGGCCAAGAACCCAGGCTCCCTCCGCTGGCTGGGGCTAACTAGGGGAATGTGCTGGAAAGCACCCGAGAGTGAAGGATGAGTCAGACCTCCCTGGAAGGCAGAGTCTGCCTAAGGAGGGTTACCTGGCTCTCCAGATGAAGGCGGGGTCCGCAGCATCCTGAGCCTAGGGCCCTTAACTATGAGGAAAGTCTAGGTTGGCCTGGTGCACAGACGGGAGTATGACTACCTCTGGGAATCAAAAGGTTGAGAGAAGTTTCAAAAGGACAGTTCAGCTTAAAGTTCTCACTAGACATGGGACCTACGCTCAGGAGATGTGGCCGAGGCAGGAGCAGAATCTCCAACACACAATTGGCTGAGGATGACTAGGGTGACCCCTGACTTTCAAGCCAGAGAAAGGGCCCAATCAGACAAAGGGCTGGATCTGAGTTCCTGATCAGAAATGTTGGCCTTGGGCCAAGAAAGCCAAGGCCTTTCTCACTTCTGGACTCCAGGGTCCACCCACACCAATTGGCTTTTGGAGCTTTATCACTTTCTTTGTTCCTCTTCCTGAAAGCAGACTGGCTAGGAAGGCCCAACACTGGAAACCCATTCAGAGATCTAAGTTTAAATAGACCCCTCAGGCTGGCCGTGTAGCTCAGGGTGGAAAGCTTGCCCAGCGTGTAAAAGGCCCTAGATTGGATCTCCAGCTCTCCCACAAACCACAAAGTAAAACCAGATCCCTCCAGCCAGTTGAAGGAACAGACTAAAATCTGTTTTCCTCAGGGATTCCATCCAGGACCTGACCTTTTGGGGTAGCCAAGGAGACCCCCATCTCTTTCATAGATCCTGCAGGGCTAATTCTTAGAAATGAATGAACCCGGGTTATAAGTGTACACCTGGAATCCCAGCACTTGGGAGGCAAAGGCAGGAGGATTGGCATGAATTTAAGGCCATTCTGATCTACGTAGAGTTCTAGACTTGCCTGGGCTACATAATGAGTTTGAGAGCAGCTTTAGCAACATAGAGTCTACTTCTCTAAAAATAAATAAATAAATAAATAAATAAATAAAGCAAGGGAGGGGGAGAGAGCCTTACCCATCTTAGTGTCCCTCTTGGTAGCTGCCCTGGGAGGGGTGGATAGGGCAGGGGTGTTCTGGAATATCCTACACATGGAGAAAGGACAAAGACTGACCCATGCTCAGCCTGAGGGTGCAACCCAGAACCTCCTCTTAAACTGACAGGCACTGTTTGAGAAACTGAGACTGAGCCATAGCTCGCTCTTCTGAGTTCCTGGTCCCCAAGCAGGAGCAAGAAAAACTGTGGCCAGCCCCCCTCCCCTGCCTTGGGATCTCCAGGCCTGAGTGGGATGGTTTAATAGGCCCATCCTCTCTGAAGCTGGTCAAATGGAGGGGGATGAAGAACTGGTTCCTTAATGCCAGTGTCACCAAGATGCCTTCTTCTAAAACCCCAGACTCTGATCTTTCTAGTGGCTTCTGCGAGGGATGTGGCCCCTCTGCTTTCCCTTTAAAACCCAGAGAGAACTACAGCCCTTCCCAGGCTCTCCTCTGCCTCCCCCACCCCCACCTCTCACAATGACCATGTAGAAATCTTGGCAGCCCTAGACATCATTCTATCTGCTTGTTCTATGTCCCAGCCCTGTAGGGTGCTCTTAGGTTCCTCCGGTGTATAGTGTCAGAGTCTGCAGCCACCCGCTTCCCTAGGCTCAGGGGACACTAGATCCTCCCAGACTCGCCTTGTGAGGAGAAAGGGGAGAAGCACAAGTTGTTCACTATGCCTGCTAGCTAGCTTAGGGAAATAGTACAGACTCAAGTCTTTTGTGCTGGGGATTGAACCCAGGGCCTTACCCATGCTAGACAATCGCCCTGCTAGCCGAGCTTAATTCCAGACCCTTAGAGGCTTGGGGTCTTGAAGGAGGTCTTGTCCTTTGTGACTAAGAATTGATGAGATCTGGGTTCGGACCCTGACTCAGACCTTTTGTAGCAGATAAACTAGAACAAAGCTCTTGATCATTGTGATCTGGGAAATGACACTATTGGGAAATGACTCTAAAGAGGACATCACTGGGGTCCACCACGGGCAGAGGAAAATCTGGTTCTGGGTTTGAGCAGTGCTGGGGCTGGCTGTGGAACAAGTGTCCTTTCCCAAGGACCCCTTGTCTCTCTTCTCTGCTCTTGCTTTCCTCCGACATCTTTCCAAATGTCAGTATTTTCCAAACAGTCTTAAATAATACTGCATTTGAAGCTGAGCGGTGGTGGCCCATGCCTTTAATTCCAGCACTTGGAGACAGTGCTGAATTTAAGGCCAGCCTGGTCTACAGATTGAATCCCAGGACAGTCAGGGCTGCACAGCGAAATCCTGCCTTGAAAAACAAAAATATAATAATAAGAAGAAGAATAGTAATACTGTATTGGCTCTTGTGGTCTATTGGTGTTGGGTGTCTTATTTACTTGTTTATTGCTGTGATAAGACACCATGACCAAGGCAGCAAGTAAGAAAACATTTAATTTGAGCCTCACAGCTGCAGTGGTTTAGTCCATGACCATCATAGCAGGGAATATGGCAGCTGGCAAACAGGCATGGCGTTGAAGCCAGTAACTGAGAGTTTATGTCCTGAGACACAAGCACAAGGCAGAGAGAAGCGGGGGGGGGGGGGGGGGGGGGATAACTGGGAATGGTGTTGACTTTTGAGACTTCAAAGCCCACTCCTAGTGACACACCTCCTCTATCAAGGCCACACCTCCTAATCCTTCCTAAACAGTTCTGCGAAGAGGGGAACCAAGTATTCAAACATATGAGCCTATGGAGGCCATTCTCACGCAAACTACCATACTGGGGATTGAACCCATGATCTCACACACGCTAAACATATGCTTGATCATTGAGCTTTATTCCTCAGCCTAACCTTAAGAAGTTCTCATAGAAAACATCACTTTGGGGCACCTACTCAGACAGCCTTTGTCTTCTGAGTTAGGCCTGTAACTTTCATTTTACCTTGTGGTTCAGAAGGAAATGGTGAAGTCCAAAGTGGCTCAGGGAGCATATGTTTAGGGCTCTCCTAGGAAAAGTGGTCTCTGACATCCCAAGCTTTCCATGTACCCCACACTATCCAGGCCTTCCAGCTCAGGTGACCTTAGATAAGTTGCATCTGGTCTGCACCACTGGAGGTGGCCGGAACTGTGGAGGATCTGGGGAAAGACCAACGAAACAGTGGCATAGATATAAGAACGGCACAATAGGTTATTAGAGAACATGTAATCATCCCCAAATGAGGGCTTTTTATGAAGGAGTCACGTATTAGCAGGACGCTCAACCACTCTATGCTGGGGACCAGATGCGGACTCTCCATCTCCATGTCAGTCAGGGCAGCTCGTGAAGGCATCTGGGGCAGCCTGTGGCCACATGGCAGTGGCCGTGAAGATGGAGGCTGCTGGAAGGCTGTTTCATGACAGCGCTCGCTTATTCAAGCTGTGAACAACTGAACGGATCTATGAAGAGCTCTATGAGGAAGACAGAGGGAGCAGGAACCTTTAAGAAGAGATGGTGTCATAGACTTCATCCCTGTCCCCCACACCATCTCTTTCACACACACACACACACACACACACACACACACACACTTACAAGCAAAATGACGGGTAGGGCACAAGAGGACAAAATGGTACCCACTGTCTCTCTGTGCCGAAGTGCCTAAGAAAAAAGCATTCTGAAAGTGTTGAGTGATTAAAAGTCTTTAAACTAAGGCTGGAGAGAAGACTCGGAGGTTAGTAATATGTGCAGCTTTTGAGGAAGACCCAAGTTCACACCCACACAGGGCAGCTCATAACTATAACTCATAGCTCATGACTGTATAGGACAGCAATAATTCCAACTACAGAAGCTACAGGGTGATCCTGAGACTTTGACTTCCTCAGGCACCCGCACTTTCTGCACATGTCCACACTGAGGCACACACATATGATATTAAAAATAATAAAACTAGACCTTTTTTTTTTTGAAGTATATTAACTTAATCTCAGCACTCAGGACAGAGTGGTAGAACCAGAATTTCAAGGAAGCCATCCTGGGCTCCAAAGCCTAGGATGTTGTAAAAGACCTTGCCTCAGACAAAACAAACACCTACAAACAAACAAATAAAAGGCCCAGCAAGGCCTCGTGGTTATGCCTACAATCCTATTACTTGGCAGGCAGGGACAGAGTTCAAGACTGCCCTAGACTATATATATACTCCTGGTACCCTGTGAGTACCAGGCCAGTGCTATACAGTGAGATTCTGTTTGCCAAAACACTTATCATTTGGAATAAAGGTTCAGTAGTAAAGAGCACTTACTGAGCCGGGCAGTGGTGGCACACACCTTTAATTTCAGCATATGAGAGGCAGAGGCAGGAGGATCTGTGTGAGTTCGAGGCCAGCCTGGTCTACAGAGCAAGTTCCAGGACAGCCAGGACTATACAGAGAGAAACCAAGTCTCAAGAAAAATTGAAAAAAAAAAGCTTATTGTTCTTGCAGAGGAGCCAAGTTTGGTCCCTAACCCCCACATCAGTCAATTTATGACTGCCCCTGTAACTCCAGTTCCAAAGTGTTTGAGATTTTCTTCTCCCCTCCAAGGGCATTTGCACATACGAGCTACACATTAGTTCACAGAGGCACACACATATACACATAAATAAAAATAATAAATCTTTTAAAACTTTAATTCAGCTGCGGGGCATTGTAACACACACCTCTCATCAGCACTGGGGAGGCAGAAGCAGGCAGACCTCTGAGTTCAAGAGCAGCCTGGCCTACAGAGTAAGTTCTTGTCCTACCAGGGTTACACAGAATAACCCTGTCTAAAACAACACTAACAGCAAAATGGCAGCTACTCTGAAGGTTGAGCAGCGGTTTGAGGTCAGCCTGGGCAGCACATGTTTCAAAACAATTACAATAAGAGGTGTGTTAGGGACACTGTCGACAGTGAGCTGGGGGACAGTCCCCATGGAGAACAGAGATTGGGAACTGGGCCTTCTGCCAGACGTGGAGTGAGGAAGCAAGCTCAGGTTGCAGAGCCTAGATCACTCATTTTCACCAGCCACTTTAGAGTCCAATCAAATCATCAGCCCTCCACAGTTGCTATTGCAACTGTTATCTCCATCTTACAGGTGAGGAAACCAAAGAAACACGACCACAGAGCCTGGACCCGCAGAGGAATGCCCTGCGGTTTGTCTGATTTCATCACTGCCCCTTGTTTCGTCACCTCGGATGGATGACATCTCAAAGTGACTCTGAGACAAGGTTGGACTGCTGGCTGCACTGGCTGTCCATCGGTCCTGTCACCCACACCCCCAGTCCCTTCTAGTCACCCTCCCTGGATCCCAGTCTGGGGTGGAGGTGGAGAGGAAGAGCCCTGGCCACCTTACAGGTCACTGGGCAAATGCTTAATTGGTTTTTGGGGGGAGTCCAAGTCGGAAAAGAGTTCCTGAAGAAGAAATTTCCACAGCCCTTCCCCCAAGGAGGGATTTTCCACTCTGCCTAGGCAGACATGCCTCTCAGAGTCCCCAGAGTCTCGCGGTGGCAAGGCTTAGTACCCAGCACTGGCGCGGGTGGAAGAGAGGGGCAAGCTTGCTGAAGAGGCAGGACTGACCTAGAAAGAGGAACAGGAATGGGGTAGGGGTGGTGCCTGGATGATTCTAGAGGAATCCCGGCTAGAGAGCAACAGGGAGAGCAAGCATCGGGGAAGCCTCCTAGAAGAGGGGCAGGAAGGGTAGAAGAGAAGAGATGGGGGGGCAGCTGGAAGTTCAGAATGGATAAGAGAGGGAACAGCAGGGAGCCGTTTGACAAGGTTTCCATGGTTTGCATGGCCAGTAGTACTGGACGGAAAAAGGATTATGATGAAGTGGACGGTGGGCTGTGGAGGACACGCAGCCGGTGCAGGGGCTGACTATGTAGCCTCTACACCTGCTGCCTGCACACTTCTTCCTCGGAGTGGCACCTGGCTGACCCCTGAACCCTCAGGTGGAGCTCAACAGTCCTCTGTCCCCTGGAGAGCGCATCCCCCCCACACACACCCTGCTTCACCCCTGCCATCCCAGCTAAAGCCAGCATGTTTCTCTTTCTCTCCACCTGAATTAGCCTGTTTTTTTTTTCTCCCTCTTTTTTTAGCAGTGGCTCTCCTTCCCACTGGAGAGTGGGAGTATCCTGAGAATGGAGACATTATTAAGGTTGTTCTCCACCAAACCCCCAGGGCGCCTTCACTGGGTAGGCTGGAGAGATGCTGCCGAGCTCCATCAAACTGCACGTTAGAGTGTCCTGGTACAGCAACAGCATTCTGTTTTTAGCTGTGACTGCACGCCAGACACCACACTGGAGGCTTTAAAAACCTCTCACCTGTACCTCTGAGCAGCCCTGCCAGGGAGGAACCACCTGTCCTTTTCCTTCCCCAACAGGCTGGCTACAGAAAGAACTAAAGGGCACACAGAGCCAGGATCCAAGCCTAAAGGCTCACTTTTCAGGCCTTTGCCATCCCAACAAAATATAATGCAAGCCATATACACTGTTGAATTTTTTTTTCCACTTTAAAGTGTAGAATCAAGTGAAGTTAATTTGTTTGCTTGATATAGGGTCTCACTCTGTTGCCCAAATTTTTGTTGATTCTCCTTCCTCTCCCTCCAAGGTGCTGCAATTATAGGTAGGTATGGGCCACCATACCTGCCTCGGATAAAATCAAGTTTAATTCTGTGGAATATTTGTTTAATTGTGCAAAGACGTGTTGTTCAACTATGTAAAGATGTGTTGCGCGGGCGGTGGTGGCACTTGTCTTTAATCCCAACACTCAGGAGGCAGAGGCAGGCGGATCTCTGTGAGTTCGAGACCAGCCTGGTCTACAGAGCTAGTTCCAGGACAGGCTCCAAAGCCACAGAGAAACCCTATCTCGAAAAACCAAAAAACAACAACAACAAAAAGATGTGTTGCATTTGTTCAACTATGCAAAGGTGTGTTGCTGTTTTACCTTGCCTGCCTAAGACACCTGATTTGGTCTAACAAAAACCTGAACAGCAATATCGAGGGAGGAGGTATAGGTGGAGCTTCTGGGCAGGGAGAATAAGTAGGAGGGGGAATCTAGGCTCAGGGAGAAAGAAAAAAAGACTACAGAGAGACTTGGGGGAGAGGTAGAGGGCAGCCAGCCAGTCACAAACAGTAGGGCATAGAAAATGAAAAAAAAAAAAAAGGTAAAAAGCCCCAAGGCAAAGCAAAGATGAATAAAAACAGGTTAAGTTAAAAGAGCTCGTGGGATAAACTAAGGCATGACATTCATAATTAATAGGAAGTCTCCATGTCTTTATTTGGGTGTTGGTTGGCAGCTCCTAAAAATGTCCAACTACACTTTAATAATATATTTTACTTAATCTGGCATATAAACTAGTATCATGTCACCATGGGTCAATAAAAAAGTTTAATAAATGAATAAATATGTTTAATAAAAGAGAGCTCGCTCGGTGGTGGTGGTGGTGCCTGTCTTTAATCCCAGCTTTTGAGAGGTAGAGGCAGTTGGATCTCTGTGAGTCAGGGATACACAAAGAAACCCTGTCTCAGAAAACCAAAACACCAAACCAAACAACAAGAAATAAACAGAAAAAAAAAAACCAACCCAGTTTTAAAAATAGATTCAAGAGCTGGGCGTGGTGACAGGTCCCTGTCATCCTAGCCCTCAGCAGGTAGAGACAAAAGGAACACGAGTTTGAGGCCAGCCTGGGCTACATGAGACTTTGTCTCAAACAAACAAAAACAGAAAAATGAGGGGGCTGGAGAGGTAGCTCAGTAGTTAAGAGAATTTGCTGCTTTTCCAGAGTTCAGTTCCCAACACCCACGTTGGGAAGTTGGGGGTTTATAACCATAACCACTAGTAACTAGCCCTAATGGGATCCAATGCCCTCTTCTGGCCTCTGAGGGCACTGGTCTCACAGGGCAGACACACCAACACACATGTACACATAAATAAAACTAAGTCAAAAAACAGAAGGAAAGAGGGGAAAAAGTTCAGTATGCCCAAATAGGCCTAAATATAACAAAAGGTTCCTAACAATCAAACTGTACATCACTTTTTGTTTGTCCATTTCTTTGCGGAATTTCATGATGCAGCCCTGGCTGGCTTGGAATTCACTAGGCAGACCAAGAAATCACAGCAACCCTCCCACCCCAACCTCCTGAGTGAGTCCTGAGGCTGAAGCCAAAGGCATGTGCCACCACACCTGGCTGCATAGTATAACTTACATGTAAATTAAATTAAACTAGATTAAATGTAAAATTCAGAGTCTCGGCTGACTCTCGTATCAAGCGCTCCGTGACTGTCGGGGGATGGCTACCACAGGACTACAGTCTTACCCAGAAAAAGGGCTGAGGAGTGGGAGATGGAGGCTGGCAGGAAGAGGGAGGGACCCCTGGTGTGGGTGTGTATGTGTGTCTGGTGGGGGAACCTGACAGAGCAGGAACCAGTTGTGAAAGGGTCTTTGAAGAAACAAAATCCCACAATCCCATGGGGCAGCGCAGGTCAGGTCCTTATCCAGGGAAGCCTGCTGGGTTTCCCCACAACTTAAAGTCCCATCTACTAAGGAAATGACAACCCTGAGCTTCTTGTGTCAAACAAGGAGTGACTGCTCTGAACTGCCGGTCCCTTCCAGGGCCAGCACAAAGCAAAGGGGGGGGGGGAGCTGAATGGGGGTTTGGGCTCTGTGGGCAGGGAGTCCTCCCTCTCCACCTTCTGACTCAGGAGATTAGGTGTGCAGTACTCATTAAATAAGTTCAAAGTTAGGACCCCTCAGACTCCAGTCCCACCTTTGACAACGTCTTGTCACGTGTCCTTGAAGAAGCCAAGTTGGAGTGGCGGGTGCAACTCAGTAGGGGGGCTTGCTTAGGTTGGATTCTCAGCACTTAAAAAAAAAATCTTTTCTTTGGGCCTGGAGTGATGACTCAATGGTTAAGAGTATTGATTGCTCTAACAGAGGATCCAGGTTCAATTCCCACCACTCCCATGGCAGCTAACAAAGGTCTGTAACTCTAAGATCTCACTCAGACTTACGTGCAGCCAAATACCAATGCACATAAAATAAAGATAAGTAAATCATTTTTAAACCGGGTGGTGGTGGCACGTACATTTAATCCCAACGGTGGTGGTGGCACGTACATTTAATCCCAACCTTTGGGAGGCAGAGGCAGGTGGATCTCTGTGAGTTCGAGACCCAGCCTGGTCCACAGCTCAAGTTCCAGAACAGACTCCAAAGCGACACAGAGAAACCCTGTCTCAAACAAACAAACAAACAAACAAAAAAAAACCCCAACAACAAGCAAACAAACAAAAACAAAATCTTTTCTTTAAGGTCAGATTTCTTCTGTGGGAAGTGAAGAAAAAGAAGGGAGAATTGTGAAGTCTGTGGAACTATGGCTGAGGACCTGCTGTCTTCCCCAGGTCAGGCTCTTTTTCTACTAGAAATGGGGGGGTCAGGATCATTACTAAACGGTGAATTAATCCGAGTGACTAGAGGTCCCCCTCCAAGTCTCCACCATTTTCCCTGCATGACATAGAGCTTGTTCAACAGGGAGTCATGGTGGGGACCTGCCAGTCCCCCAGATGCCAGAGTAGGAAGTAAGGTGACTCAATCTGAATCAACAGCAGGTGAGGTCACCCTGGTCCTTGGGGTTACTCAGAGTGACATTAGGACACGCCCGCAGGAGTAATGGGTGAGCTGGACTCTAGGAAAGTGGGTGGGGCTAAGACAAGGAAACTCCAAACAGGCCAGTATCCACAACTGAGAGCATTAGGCAGGATCTGAAAGTCACCTGGGGAGATGGAGCAGTTTGGAGAAACAGCAGCTCTGACTTCTCCTTTGAGTCAGCATGGCGCTGGAGCCAGGGACACTGAGTGAGGTCAGGGGCCCAGGCTTCCTCAATCCCATTCCCTCTTCAGTCCTTTGCCATATGGAATCCTCAGCATCCTGCCCTGGAAAGAGAGAACCAGCTTCCCAAAAGTTGTCCTCTGTCATAGTATGGCTGTGACATCCCCCACACTAATAGTTAATGTGATTTAATTAAAAAAAATCAAAATTGGACTTGGTGGGTGTTGACTCATGCCTGTAAATATAACATCTGAGAGGTGAAAGTGGAAAGGTTAGGAGTTCAAGGTCATCCTCAGCTTCCTAGTGAGTTCCACACCAGCATGGGACACATGAGACCTTACATCAGAAAGAAGATAATAATAAAAATGCCTAGATGGGCACCCCTTCCTCATGTGTGTGTATGTGGTATGCATGTATGTATGTGTGTGTGGGTGTACATGTGTGTGCTTGTGTGTGGAGGTCCAAAGTTGACGTCAGGTATCTTCACCGGTCACTTCCGCTTGCTCTATAGAGACTGTCTGTCCACAAACCCGGGACTCACCAGCTCCAGCGAGCCTCATTAGCTGGCTTGCACAGGCTAGCTAGACCTCCTGGTTCTGCCTGCTGAGTGCTGGGGGGCCAGCGTACCTGCCCAGATTTTCAGTGGGTCCGGGGGATCTGAACTCTGATCCTTAGGCTTTGTCATGGAGCCATCCCACCAGCTTCTGAGTGGGTCTTCATGCATTTCTAACACTTGGCTGCAGGCAAGCTCTTGAGCCTTGTTTCTGCCTCTGCAAACTGGGAAACACAATTGCAGTGAGGATCCAGGAAGAAGTCAGTGAGAAAGTGGGGAGGACAGGCATTAAACTGACCCTAGGGAGTTCCCCACAAATAAGCTTCAGGTACAGCTTGGGGACAGGTCAACTCACAGAAGAGGAAACTGAGGGGCTGGAGAGGTGGCTCAGAGGTTAAGAGCATTGCCTGCTCCTCCAAAGGTCCTGAGTTCAATTCCCAGCAACCACATAGTGGCTCACAACCATCTGTAATGAGGTCTGGTGCCCTCTTCTGGCCTGTAGGCATACACACAGACAGAATATTGTTTACATAATCAGTAAATATATTTTTTAAAAAAAGAAGAGGAACCTGAGGTTCAAGAAGTCATTCTGAGATATCCTAGGAGACTTTCAAGCATTTAGTCACCTGGTCATTCTGCATGGCTATCATTGCGTAAGGAGTTTCCATGCACAGGTCCTGAAGTTGGCTGACCTGTCCTTGTCCCTGCCCTAGGGGTGACCTTTCCTACTCTCTTTCCTGCTTGGTTCCTGGTGGCAGAAAACAGGTGAGGGACTGCAATCACGGCTGCCTCTTGTAACTAGGACTGGAGTCAAGGAACTAGAGGCAGTGTGTGTGTGTTTATGTGACCGGGTAGCTCTTGTGTCTCTGTGTGCACACACGTCAACCCAAAAGGACCTACTGGGCTCTCCCTGAATCTCCAGCGAGAGGTCACCCAGCTTGGTGATGAGAGATGAGAGGCAGGCGAATCTCTGTGAGTTCAAGGCCAGCCTGGTCTGCAAAGGAAGTTCCAAAACAGTCAGGGCTGTTATACAAAGAAACCCTGTCTCAAAAAAAAAAAAAAAAAAAAAAAAAGCCGGGCAGTGGTGGCGCACACCTTTAATCCCAGCACTTGGGAGGCAGAGGCAGGCGGATCTTTGTGAGTTCGAGACCAGCCTGGTCTACAAGAGCTAGTTCCAGGACAGGCTCCAAAACCACAGAGAAACCCTGTCACGAAAACTAAAAAAAAAACAAAAAAAACAAAAAAAACAAAAAAAAAACAAAACCAAACCAAACCAAACCAAACCAAAATAATAAATGGTGCTTGGGATAACAAAAGTTTGCTCTCAAGGATTCTGGAATGTGTTTGACACGAAAGTGCCAAAGAATAACATTCAGTGTTCTAGCTAGGCATGTAGGGACTAAGGCAGGGCTCACTTTAGGTTCAAGACCAGCCTTAGTTACATCACATTTTGCCTTGCAATCCAGCCCCCTGAACTGTCTTAACTTCTCTGAACTGAAGCCTCCTAGGCTGCAAAATGGATGTGTCCATAGCTTATTTAGAGGCCAGCCTGGACTATATAGCAGGAATAGAACTGCTGTGTTATCTCAGAGACTGTTGAATCCTGTCAAATGACAGAATTTTCAGAATTACAGGCATACAAAGGTATATACAGGATTCGTAAGGGGCCTGGAAAATCCCAGTAGCTGGCTGCTGTAGAAATCCTGCTCGCTACAGACAAAGAAAAAAAGGAGAGCAGTTTGAGACACTGAATATTCACCCTTCTGCTTGGCAGCTAGGAAGCAGCTGGTTCCCAGGATAGCTCTAACTGCTAACCGTGGGAGGGTCTCCCCAGGCCTGTAGGCAATGGGCTAGGCTCGGTTCCTGAAGGCTTTGGTGCCCTCCAGGCAACAAGAGGAGCCTCCGTGGAGGTGGGAACTGTATGTAGTTAGGAAGGATGAGCTTTGCCTCCCGGCGCTTCGAGTCAGGCTGGCTCCCACTAATGTAAGGTGCTGGAGCTGGCCAGCCAGCACACCACCTGGGCTCTGCCTTGACAAATCAGTCCGTTTAGGAGTGAAGAGCAAGCCTCGCTGAATTTTTCTGTTTCTCCCAGCTGAGAAAGTTCCACTGTTTTCTTCTGTGCTGAGCCAATTGAGTCAGTGTTTTTGACATTTGCATTGCCTTGCAGTCCAGCCCCGCTGTGGACTGTCTTAACTTCTCTGAACAGCAGCCTCCTACTCTGCAAAATGGGTGTGTCCATGGGGCTTTTTTTTTTTCTTTTTTTTCCTTTTTGTCTTTCCTGGAGAAAGGAAGGGCTGTTTAGGACTGTCAAAAAGATCGACCAGTATCCAGTATTAAACCTTCCAGCATGACACATGCTGGGGCCTCCCTGTTTAGTTAGTAAGGAGAACTGGCCCCAGGAAGTGAGGCCCAAAGAAGCTTCTTGACTTTGGTGGGGTCCAGCTGAGCATCCTACTTGACCTTGAACGTTATAGGCCACACCAAGAAGGCTGTGTGTAGTTAGGCAGCGCTGGCACACACCTTTAATCCCAATCCCAGCACTGCGGAGGCAGAGGCAGGTAGATCTCTGTGTGTTCAAAGCCAACCTGGTCTCCAAAGCAAGTTCCAGGACAGCCAAAATTACACAGAGAAACCCTGTCTTGAAAAACCAACTCCCCACACAAAGAGAGAGAGAGAAGCCTCTGTGTGTGTATGTGTGTGTGTGCGCGCACGTGCATGTTTTGTGATGATAGTAATGATGATGATAATGTGGATGATGGAGATGATTGAGACAGGATCTGTTGTTTGTTTTTGTTTTTTCAAGACAAGGTTTCTCTGTGTAGTCCTGGCTGTCCTGGAACTGGCTATGTACCCCAGGCTGGCCTCAAACTTAGAGATCCACTTGCCTCTGCATCCCCAACCATGTCATTAAAGGTGCGCATCACCACAACCTGGCAAGAAGGTCTTATGTAGCCCTGACTGATGGCAAACTCTATGTAGCTGAGGATGTCCTTGAACTCTTATCTTGGGGTGACAGGCATATATTATCACAACTGGTTTCATGTAGTGCTATAGTTTGAATCCGGGCATAGTATTCAAATTCATGAATGCTAGGCAAGCATAGTCTACTAACTGAACTAATTAAATCCCCAGATGATTTAATCAACTTCTTTCTTTAATTACAGTGCTGAGGATGGGATCCAGGATCTTGAATGGGCTAGGTGAGTACTCCACCAACAAGCTATACCCCTGACTCTTAGGATTCATTTTCACAGTCCTCACCTTTTCCCCCTTTAAATTGTGACACATTTCTGTGTCCCTAACTGTCCTGGAACTTGCTATGTAGATCAGACTAGGCTTGAACTTGTGGCAATCCCCCTTCCTCTGCCTCCCAAATGCTGGGATTACAGACATAAACTACACATACCCCACAAATAATCAGATTCATTTTACAGCTAAGGAAAGTGGAGTCTTGTCCAATGTCAAGTCTAGAGCTCACCCCAAGCAGAGGTGTGTGGCTCAACCTCTTCCCGGAGCTCGCGTGTGAGCTCAAGGCCATAGGGAAGTTACACTCTGCCTTCTTCGCAAGAAGGACTTTTATCTTTTTCATCTGTCTGACAAAGGAACTTTGCCCAGAAGGCTGGCGTCCCCATTTTGATCTTTCACATAGCCAAGACTGGACCACTAGTTCCTGTCGGTTAACCCCCCAGAGAGAATCTGACGCAGTTTGACTAAAGGAAACCACCAGCCTTGGCACGAACCATCCTTCCGGGCAGGCCGCCTGAGGTCAGGGTGGGGTAGGACTGGGAATGGCATTGCTTGCTTCTCCCAGATACCCACCAACTACGGCTTGGGCACAGGGCTCATCTTGAAACTCAGTGTCTTCTTGTATAGTGTGGGATGCATGTAGCTAGCGCCCCTCCACTACCGGGTCGTGTTGATGTTCATCGCAAGGATTAACACGAGGTAACAGGTGACTCCTCCTTCGCCCCTGGGAGACACAGAGAAAAGAAGGCCTTATAAAGTCACGCAGTGGCGAGGGTATAAGGCTAGTGAGACCCTCACCACCTTCCTTTACACTCGCCTGGCTCGCGGCTCTCCAACTTGGGAGCTACGCAGCCTCATTCATCCTTTTGAGTTGCTGGGAAGAAATCCAGATTCCTACCCACTCCCTGCACCCGCTCAGCTTGGGGCACGTCCTGCGACTTGCCGCCCCCGAGCTTCAGGACCTCAGTGCGTTAGCTTGCCCGCTCAGACAAACACCCAGCTAAGGTCTCATGTAGTCTGTTTTTGATTGGTTCCTTCAGATGGCAGAGACAGGGGTGTCAACTTTAGTGACCAATGGAAAAGCTCTCAGGGAGATGTGGTTGCTACAGCAACAGAGAGCTGAATCTGGTTTCTCTCATTGGGCACAGATCCTGCTTGCTCTTCCCGGGACCCGCCACACAGTGGTCACATGCTCTACGGTAGGCTGGACTGGGAGACGGAAGTTGGGGGATTACTAAAACGCAAGCCTTTGAGAATTGCCAAACTGCGGCTGAGCCTTCATGCCTAAGACTAACAAGAGCAGGCTGCCTGGAGGAGGTTACTCAGTTTTCTATGCCTTCCTCCGGGAACAACCGAGGAAGATGTACTCCTAGCACCCAGGACCTGCTTGAGTAGGGTTCTTTCCCTGATGTCTTTGGAGCTCGGTGGTTCAAGCATCCTCAGCAGAACCTTCTGAAAACAAGATAGATAAAGATGCTTGCTGTCAAACCTGACAAACTGAGTTCCATTTCGGGAAGGACAGACTCCCACAAGTTGTTCTCTGAACTCCATAAGCATGCTTGGCAGCCTGTTCCCTACAATTAATGAAAATGTTATTTATTTATTTATTTATTTATTTATATTTTAATTTAGCAAAGGGACCAGGGCTGGGGCTGCTTGACAGTTCTTGGTGGGAACGGTGGTTCACACTTTTAATTCCAGCACCCGGGAGGCAGAAGTAGGTGGATGTTTGTGAGTTCAAGGCCAGCTTGGTTTACCTAGTGAGCTCCGGACTGCTAGGACTACGTAGAGAGACTTTGTCAAAAGCAGTAGGGGGGAGGAACGGGGAGAAAGAATGCTTCCTCTTTTGGGGAACTCTGGTTTGGTTTCCAGCATCCAAGTGGGTGGTTCCATCACCTGTAACCTTAGTTCCAAGTTATCCAACTCTCTATTGATCTCTGGGTACCAGGCTTGCATGCAGTGCACATTAATATACGAGGGCAAAACACACACCTGAAAATAAATAAAATAAAAAGATATTTAATTGCCCCAATAAGCCTGGTGTAGAGCATTAGAGTGGACACACAGAGACAACCACTCAGGCTAACATCTCACTGAAGCAGTAGCTTACCAGGCAGATCAGGACGTGCCAGCCAAGACTCACCCAGGGAAGGGTGGGGACAAGATGAGTACCAAGACTGAATTGTGGGTCTTATGCTGCTCTCAGCCTCGGACCAGGAAGAGAGAACCAGGGGTCAGCAAGGCCATTGCCTTAAGGCATCTTGCACTGGCCTTCCATAGAGTCATGTCGGGTCCTGGGCATTCATTAACCTGACCCTCTTCCCAGGACAAAGGAAGGTGACCAGCTTCATTGTCCTTGGCTCACAGAGGAGGAAGGGTGACTGGTAAAGTGGCTCACCCTTGGGCCCTGGGGCCTGGCGTTTGGCCCTGGCAGGGTTGTGGATGCCTGTGGATTCCTGGATGTAGCTTCCTGTCAAGCAAAACTCCTTACCTGTCCTGCTTGAGGATTCTGGGAGTCAGTGCGGTAGAGAACCCTGGCTCTGTTGCCTGGGCCCTAGGAGTTCTCTCTTCTGCTGTTCCAGTGGAAGGGCCTGGTTGCTCCTGGGGGGCTAAGGTCTCCTAAGTAGATGTAGCTGTTTTCCTCGAGCCCTCTCTGGGTCTGGGACCAGCTCTAAGCCAGGAGGGCTGTGACAGGAAGACTGTGTGCCTGTAGGTGTCCCTGGAGGGCATGGCTTCTTCCACTCCCATTGTGTCCCCTCCTCCCATCTAGGGTCTAGCACAGAAGGGACTCAGGGATGTTTCTTTCTCTCTGTAGGGCTTCTTTGTCTACTCCCAAACTGAGAGGAGTAGAAGCCATCTGCTTGAGAGGTTGTGAGTTTCTGTCATTAGCTGACAGGCTGCTCCTGAGTGACAGCTCCAGGTGGATTCAAGGCAGAGGTGGAGTTCTCCACTGGCCTTTCGCGTGGGAGAGGAGGCTTCAAGACTCCTAGGCCATGAATGTTTACAGCTTAGGTTGAACTCGAAACTCTGGGAGACACATGGTACACAGACATACATGGCAGTCACACACACACACACACACACACACACACACACACACACACACCACAGTGTGCATGTGGAGGTCAGAAAACAACCTTTGGAAGTTGTTATTTTTCTTCCACCATGTAGGTCATCAGGCTGGAACTCAGGTCACCAGGCTTGGTGGTGGTAACCATTCTCATCTCCCTAAGCCATCTCACCAGCCCTGTTCTTGTATTGTTTAAAATTATTTCAGCTGGGCATGGTGGTGCACGCCTTTAATCCCAGTACTCCAGAGGCAGAAGCAGGCAGATCTCTATGAGTTCGAGGCCAGCCTGGTCTATAGAGCTAGTTCCAGGATAGCCAGGGCCACACAGAGAAACCCTGTCTTGAAAAGAATAAAAATAGGGGCTGGAGAGATGGCTCAGAGGTTAAGAGCATTGCCTGCTCTTCCAAAGGTCCTGAGTTCAATTCCCAGCAACCACATGGTGGCTCACAACCATCTGTAATGGAGTCTGGTATCCTCTTCTGGCCTGAAGGCATACACACAGACAGAATATTGTATACATAATAAATAAATAAATATTAAAAAAAGAATAAAAATAAAATTATTCCATGTATGTTTACGTTGGAAATGGTCATATACAATGGCACAGCCAGGAGACCTGGTAAGCATTTATTAGTAATAATTAATAAAGCATTTATTAATAATAACAGGAGAACCGGAGAGATAACTCAGTGGTTAAGAGCACTGACTGCTCTTGCAGGACCTGAGTTTGGTTCTCAACACCCACATGGAGGCCCACAACCACCTGTAACCCCAGTTCCAAGGGATTAGATTCCTCTCTGACTTCCGTGGGCTCCTACATACATGTGGGGCGCATGCATACATTCAGATTTGCACCAACACATACAATTAAATGAATCTTTAAAAAATAATGATAACATGGTCTGGGGTGGGAGCTGGAGTGTTGCTTAGTGGCAGAGGTCTTGCCTGGCGTGTGCCGAGCCCTGGGTTCCATCCCCGCCAATCCAAACTGGTAAAGAAAAAAATGGCAGCCTTTCCCCAGTTGCACGTGATGCACCTTTCTACACACAGGATCCTGTTTCTTATCTTCTGAGCATCACTGGCCTTATTTTACAGAGGAGGAAACCGAGGCTGAAGGGTGACTGTGACTTGTGCATAGGGAAAATTTTGACCAAGTCGCTGGTGGCTCCTGACCCAGATAAAGGGAAGGTGATGGTGGTGGGGGGAACAGCTTCCAACCAGACCTACAAGGGTAGAAAAAGTTCATCCCATGGGGAGCTTGGATAAGACATGAGGAAGGACTTCCTGGCAAGAAATGTTTAGACACCAGAATGAGTGTCCAAGGAAGGGTGTGGAGGACCTGCCTTTGGAAGTCCTCAAAACAAGATAAAGGCTTGCCCAACTGGGCTCATTCCAGTACTGCCTGAAGGCAGGGGAATGGACTAAATGACCTCCGAGGTCCCTTCAGCTCCAAAATTAGTGTACCCTGCTATCAAGGGAGCCACCCTTGACTCTTCCCCCAAAGCAGCTATTAAGCTGTGTAAAGACTCCAACTTAAGGGGACTAAGAAAGCTTCTCTTGGCCCCTGGCCATGGGAGGAAGTGGCTAAAGACAGCCTCATATGCAGGGGACTGGGGAAGAGGGGTGGGGGCTGGAATGGTCCCTCTTCTCTCCTTAGTCATCTGTGCCCCATTCAAGTCTGGAGGTCCAGGACCTAGCTCCTTGGGGCTGCACATCACTTAGGGCTGCTCTGCGCATGGGACTGTGGTGTCCTGCCATCCTTACATATTCTCCAGGACCCCCCATGACTGCCTGAGCCAGCAAGGTGAACACAGGCTGACCTCAGTCATTATCTCTCTGGGTCCAAAATGTATTCATTTTAAAGTCAGAGTGTTCATTTATAGAAAGATACAAAATTGTCTATATTGTTGGTTACACAAAATTATACTTTACTTTTTTAAAATTCAAAATCGGGTGTGATGGTGCATGCCTGTATTCAAGAGGAGAGGCAGGAGGATTGCCATGAGTTCTGGGCCACCTTGAGTTACAGAGAGCGTCACCCCATCTCAAAAAAAAAATAGACAAAAAATAAATAAGTAGCCACAAAAATTAGAGCACTTGCCTAATGTGTGTGAGGCAGAGATCCTTACACTACAAGAATCAATAAACATATACTGTAGGCCCAGATCTTGGCAAGAAGACTGAGGCAGGAGGATTTAGAATTTGACCCCAGTCTAAGCTATAAATCAAGATCCTATCTTAAAAAACAACCATCTTCCACAAATAGACTAGGTATTGGGGTGATGTTTGAAGTGTAGCACTTGGCTGGTGGATGAAGGAGGGTTAGGTGCTTAAAGTGGTCAGCTGAGTCAGGAGCCAGCCTTCAACACTAAAGACCTTGTCTCAAAAATGACCCCAAATCTCTCAAACAAATCAACACCCATCTACCCTTCCCCCACCAAAAAAAAAAAAACCCAAAAAAACAAAAAAACAAAAACCAACCAACTCCACAGAGGTGCAAGCACTGTGTGGGATGGAGAGGGCGAGCCTGTTGAAGCACAAAGGCCAATGATGGCTCTCTCGAGGCACATGAGGGGCCATCTCTCACAAGAGAGAAGGCTCAGCTCTTCATCAGTCTGTTAGGGAAGGACAGTGAGGAACA